CAAAGAGGTCTTGGTTACTAGGAGTTGAATTAAAAAAGCAGTGAGAAAAACGCTCACAGCAGATATATTGTACAAAGAAGTGTTTTAAAAAAATAATAATGTGCACTTACTTTAGAAAAGGAGAAGATGAAGGGAGCGGGTTCGTGCGGGGCAATAAAAAGGGGGTGATAGTAAAAACGTGCAAAGGATCGGTTTTCAGTGACTGGTGGTGGTTGCGAGAAGCTTGAGGAACCTAGGCTTCAACGAGCACCTTCTTTGACTTTGTTGCCGTTGCTTCTGCTGGCTTCTTTGAAGCAGCTTCTAAAGGGAAAGAACATTAGTTTCAAAAGTTCAACTATTTAAAACTTGGATCACTATGCTCACCTGCTTTAGCTGGCAGTTTACTTGTAGGAACATCGGGCAGGTTAATGTCTTCTTCTTCGTGGACTCCGAGGATGCTCGCCAACTCTGCATCCAGCGCCGCCTCATCCTCCTCCTCCTCTTCACCCTCTCTGTTGCTCGATATGAGATCGTTGATTTCCTGATAAACAGATTAGATTACAAATTGAGTATTCAAAAAGCCTCATCCTATCACTCGTACTTGCTGCTTGGCGACGCCCTCCTCCGTCTCCTCGAGAATGGACTCGATCTGCTCGATGCTGAATACGGCGTTCAGCTGCTTCAGCGTCTCATTGCCAATTTGAATGCCCTTAATGACGCTCTCCTCCACCCTCTTGAACTCAATGTCGGTGATGAGGCTCTCAATGTTGAACAACTCAGTGTCCGTCTTGTCCAGTATCTTCTCGGTGTACTTCTTTTTCCTCAACAAAAGTAGCGCTTTTCTGTAGAAGATGATGAGGTGATTGATAAACACAAAGGTAAGTGCGACTGCAAATTATTTTTGCAAAAAAAGTTGTACTCACTGCTTTTGGCCCTTTTGAACTAGTTGCTTGATGATTTCAGTTTCACTCTCCAATTGGACGACCAGCTTCTTCTGAAACTGCTTCACCTTGTCGCGCTGTTGCTTTATTTGCTGCAAACAAAATGGGAGGACTTGAATTAGAGCACAATTACTAAAATGACGCATCAACCAGT